AAGAGACTTTGCTTTTGGTTTGGGTCTTGCTACGTAGTCCAGGCTCACGCTGTGTGGTGAGGCTGGTCTCAAACCTGCGATCCTCCTCTTTTTTACTACAATTACAGGTATGAATCACTGACTATATCAAAATGACTGGCTCAAAAATGAGTTTTATGACCAAGAACAAACACAGGGCTAAGGTACATTGCAACTTTCCCGGAGGGGAAGGCCACCCCGAGAGATGCATCACAGGCAGCCTATGCCCTAGTAGCAATGCACAGGAACTTCAAGGGAAGGGTCCTGGGGAAGGGCAGTGCCAGTTCTGCCAGGGTCATGGTCTGACCAAGCTAGGAAAGGAGACTTTGCTTCCAGCAGGGATGGACCCAGCAGAGAACTAGGAGCAGGCATCTTGAGTGTGGGTATAAATAAATGGGCAGGACACAAGGCAAGATACTCCATATTCCAAACCCTACAGAGTCCATACTAGACTGTGGAGGAATGGCATGGTCAGAGATGTGGGATAGAGTCTGGCTGGGGACTGGGAATCCAGAGCCAGGATGAGGCACAAAAAAGATGGCTGTCAAACCGGGCGGTGGTGACGCACACCTTTAACCCCTGCACTCGGGAGGCAGAGGCAGGGGGATCTCTGTGAGTTCGAGCCCAGCTTGGGCTACAGAGTGAGTTCCAGGACAGGCTCCAAAGTTACACAGAGGAAACCCTGTCTGGAGGCTGTCCCTTGCACCAAGTGGGTTAGGAACAGTGAGGAGGGAGAAGTCACCTCTACTTCAGGGGCTTCACAGAGCTACTGAGGTACAGGAAAGGAGTTTAAAACGTATCCAGAAAAGGCCCGTGTGTGTGTGGGGGGGGGGGGGGGAGGCATGGACAGAGAGGGCAGGGTAAACAAAGGCACGAGGAGGAGGGGACCAGTGTCTGGGTGAGGAGGACAGGCAGCTTGCCCATGACACACTGTATGAAGGGTGACAGGGAGGAAGTGGCAGGAGGGAGCTCAGGACCAGCCCCCAGGTGCTATCACAGCTAAGGGTTCAGATCACTCTGGCCCTTGCCTGAGGCAGTGAGGAGATTGTTGAAGGGTTTAAATGATGGATAGTCCCCAAAGCATCTTGCCTTTCCCTTCCTTCCTTCCTTCCTTCCTTCCTTCCTTCCTTCCTTCCTTTCTTCCCTTCCTTCCTTCCTTCCTTCCTTCCTTTCTCTTAATTTAAAGTTGGTGCTGCCAGGTGGCAACGGCTTCCCATTACCTGGCTTCGTTCTTTTCTGACTAAAGGATGAGAGACAGAATGCATCCCCTGTTGGCTGTCTGATACCTTGACATTCATTTCCATGTCAAGGTCCGTCCCAGGGCTGAACTTAGCTGGATATCATGCCTCAGAGTAGGACATGGCACTAAGTAGGATGTGCTGGGACTCTAACAGGACCCACCTGTTATGTGTTATGGCAAGAAGAGAAACAGAAACCCAAAGGACAAACGCCAGGCTTGCCCCTCTGCAGCAACTGGGAAGCCCCCCACCCCCACCCCTCTGGCACACTGACTTTGAACTTTTAAGTTTCACAGTGGCTGGGGAGCCTACACTGAACAAGTTTAACAGCTTCCTACAGAGAGAACAACTATCAACCATAAAAACTAGTGGAAGTTCATTTGTGTGTGTGGGACTCAAGATACAACCTTCCACTGAACAAGTTTATACGGCATGGTCCCTGAGTCTCCCCAGTCTGTCCTCTGACTCACACCACTGTAACAAATAATCTTCTGACCCCACAGAGGTCCCAACAGGTGGAAGGCAAGCCCCTGACGTTGGTACTACTTTGGAATAAAGCAGAGGGCAGGAAGAAAAACAAAGAATTTATTAGTAAAGTACCAGCCGGAGGCAAGAGGCAGGAAGGACAGAGGGAAAGCCGCAAAGGAAGGCAGCAACAGCTAATATTTACTAAGGGCTAGCCACACAACAGGTGCCTCGCAGCCTGGAGAGGAAATACTAACTCCCTCTTTCTTGGAGGTGTCAAGGGCTTACGTGGCCTGCCCAGGATCACTGATGGGAAATGGCTCTCCAGGCATGAATGAGGCTTACTCCCAGCCCTGGATACCAGGCTTTGAGAAACACCCTAGGAAGGGGCTAAATGGCCTCAAAAAGTGCTACTTGACCCAGTAGGAGGGCATTAAACACGGAGTCTGGGGTGGGGGTTAGTGGCGGCCGCTGATATTTGTGACCAGTATGTGTCTTTGCTGGTTATTCCCTCTCTCTGAGTCTCTCAGCTGAGACACAGCAGAAAGCTCCCTCCCCGCCCTCTAGGGTCTAGGCAAGGCCCAGCAAACGGGGAAGGGAAAGCACCACATGACTTTTTTGCTTTTCTTCAGTGCTGGAGCTTGGAGATAAGGCCCTTAAATGCTTGGCAGGCACTCTACCACTGAGCTACAACCCCAGCTCCTAAAAACGATTCTTTTCCTGCTACTAAGGTACAAGTGAGGAAGAAGAGAAAGGAGTTCCTGGTATCCTAGGGAGAGAGGAGGAAGTAGAGAGGGGGCTGGTTTAGGGTTGTTTTCACCAAAGTGTGATTCACAGAACACTCATCACTGGAGATGATTCTTGGAAAACAGCTCTGTCTAGGCTGGCTAGCTTAGGAAAGCTTCCAGGGTCACAGTGTACCAGGGCATAGGAAGCGCCGTGACAATGAGATCTGCCTTCTCACATATTAGGAACCCCTGTACTAGATTATCAGGGAACAGCCTTCTCTCCTTCCTCTAAACTTCCAAAGCATTGGACTGTCATCATCCAATCATATTTGGGGCCGGGGGGGGGGGGTCCGAGACATGGTTTCTCTGTGTATCCCTGGCTGTCCTGGAACTCACTCTGTAGACCAGGCTGGCCTTGAACTCAGAGATCCGCCTGCCTCTGCCTCCCAAGCTCTGGGATCAAAGGTGTGCGCCACCACCGCCTGGCTCACAGCTTTTTTAAATTGTTAACAAACTGCTTCAGAGCAAAGTCTCACCTGCCTAGAGTGGACTGGGTGCTTCAGGATGGCAGAATCTTACACTTCTTTGGAACTTCCCTATAGTAACTGAGTCAGCACCATGCCACAGGAGCCCTTAGCTAGATGGGCAAACAACTACCCAGCTTCCCTGAACAAACATAAAGCCCTTGACTTTGATGGAAGCAGAAAACAGTTAGCAATCAAAAAAAGTTGTTCTGGAAACAAAAGGGAACAACTGTCTTTTCAAACACATTTCAATGAAATCTGGCACACAGATAACTCAGACCTGTGAACGCACCTAAGAGATTACAGTATAAACATGAGTTTAAGTATTGGGGATAAAGCCAGGCAGTGGTGGCACATGCCTTTAATCCCAGCACTCGGGAGGCAGAGGCAGTGGGATCTCTGTGGGTTTGAGGCCAGCCTGGTCTACAGAGTGAGTTCCAGGACAGCCAGGGCTCCATAGTGAGACCCTGCTTCAAAAGAACCTTAAAAAAGGTTCTTAGGTCTGTCTGAGTCTCCAGGTTCTGGTGATAAGGCAGCAAAGTCTTCGGCATTCAAGTCCTAAGCGGTTGACAGCCTGACACACAGGAGCTGATGTGCAGTGGGAAAACTCAGCCTCATCCACATCTGTCTGAGGCTCTTGAATAGGACTTTCCCTGACTTTTCACCATGACAGCCTCAACTTGGTATATGGTCTCTTATGGATGCCCCAGAAGTAAGATACTGTCCAGTTGGGTCAATTTCAAAGTTGTCCAAAAATCTGACACAAAAATGGATTTTTGGATATTTTTTTGTAAAGTAGGAAGAAAAATACACAGTTACCTTAAAATGATAATCAGTGTTTCACTTTGTGATAATTAGACACAGTCTTTTTTTTTTTTTTTTTTTTCCATTTTTGCTGGAAGGTTACTTCCAAAACCCAAACCCACCCTTCCTATTTCCAGGGCTAACAGAGTTGTTATCAATAAGCAAGCACACCTTTTGGCACTCAGCTCACTGCACTGTTTTATAAGGGCAGCAGCAGTAGCAGGCAGGGTGGGGACTTCACTGTAAAATGTCACACTGTCTATGAAATCACTCCCTTCCCTTAGTACCGACTGGGCCTGCACTGGTGTACCCGGGTTCTACCTCCCTCGTCCCATCTTCCCAAACCTCACCTGGTTGATGACGTAGATGCCATAGTCCAGTTGCTGGCGCTGTAGGACCGGGTGCAAATAATACAGCCAGTATTTGAGGTGCTCCTGCCGGTTGCGGAATGGGATAATGATGGCCACCTTGTGAGGAGAAATACAGTCCTTGGGGGAGTAACGACCGCCCATCTTTACCTCTGGGTTCTTCTTTGCCAAAAGCTCCAGATCCACAGTAATATCAAATTCAATCGCCATGGGGCCAACTAGAGAGGCAGAAGGAAGAAGTTAGGCAGCGGCAGCGCCCACCACGCCACAGACTGCATCAGCTGACCAGACCACAGCTACAGAGACAGCTCCTCCTGGAGGAGGGAGGACAGAAAGGGCATCCATGCCCACCGGAGGCCTGACTAATCACCTCAGGAAATCCCTCGTTCCAGGAGCTCCTAGAGCTGGGCAAACCCAGGCCATCAGTTACCCATGGAACACTCCGAGCCCAAGAGACCCTCTCCCCCTCGGGTTGCGCTGGAAGATGGAGTCCTGCCCAGACTACTTGACGGCTGCTGTAGAGACTGGTGAGCACAGCTGAGGAAGCACTTTCTCACAAGTCTTGAGCTTGACGTAGCTCTGCCACCTGCCATCTGTGTGGTTCTAGACAAAGGACTACTATGGCCCTTTCTAAACTTAATCTAAGCAGGATGTGGTGGGGCACGCCTTTAGTCCCAGACTCAGGGAGGCAGAGGCAGGCCAATCTCTGAGTTTGAGGTCAACCTGGTCTACAAATCTAGTTCCAGGCCAGCCAGAGCTACACAGAGAAACCCTGCTTCAGAAAATAAATAAATAAATAAATAAATAAATAAATAAATAAATAAATAAATAAATAAAAAAAACCTAACTAGACAAAAGAAAAATCTAACTAGAGAAAAGAAAGGAGGGTGTGGTGTGTGGGGCTCACACTGAGGATAGTGAGGAGGGGAAGGAATTCAACGGAGAAGGATGGAGGGAATGAGACCCCAGAAGAAAAAGAGGGGAACAAATGGGACATTCAGAAAGAACATCAAAAAAGAAAAGAAAAACAACAACAAAAACCTCCAGGCTATGGTGGCACATGCCTTTAATCCCAGCAACCTGTGAGTTCAAGGCCAGCCTGGTCTACAGAGCAAGTTCCAGGCCAGCCATGGATACACAGAGAAACCCTGTCTCAGAGAGAGAGAGAGAGAGAAAGAGAGAGAGAGAGAGAGAGAGAGAGAGAGAGAGAGAGA